TGGCCTCAGCCCAGCCACAAAATCTACTCTAAGAATGATCCTTATAGACCTTAAGCATTGCTTTTCTTTCAAGTGAGTGATTTAATATTTATGATTTTAAAAGTCAGTACAGATCGTTCAGGATTTCAGGGTAATTCTGTTAATTATTTTTAAAAAAAAGATGAAGAAACAGGCAAACCTTTTTAAATCAAGCATTATAAACTTTTAATGTGCCAAAGCAAATATCTGCAATTCCATCTTTTTTTTTTTAAGTGATCGTTTCATTCAAATACTTTGCTTGCAATTCCTCTAATAGGGATTCTGAGATTCAAAAGAAGATAAAACTTATCTGTCCTTTTGACATTCACACAAATGTGTGTTTCCAAGATTTCTTTGTTTTCACTGTGTCCTTAAATTTACTATAGCCTGACAATTACAGAGCAAACCATAAAAACTCCTTGTTGCTGGATACCAGCCTTCCAAAATGCTGAATACTTAAATATAATGGAAGTATCTGAGACATGGTTGCAGCTGGGCTGCAGTATCTAAGTATTCAGAACAGAAGAGGGTTTTATCATAAAAAGCCACATGCTTTTGTATATATTCCTCTTCTATGTAAGGTAAGTGTATGGACCCGAATGTCCTGCAGTCCTGAATTTATTTTAATTGCAATATTTTTGATGGAGCTAGTAAGACAGACTGATTTATGCTCTGGGTCGGAGCCCACATAAGGGGCTTTCCCCAAAGCCTTGCTCACATGAATCTTGAGTGGATCAGGCCCTCTAAAATCCTTTCTTCCAATATCTGCAGAGACATCTCTCATTTAGCCTGTATTCGTGCACTGCAGGGAAGCCACAGGACTTGTAGCCCCCTCCAAATGTGCGGGGACTCCTTCTCCAGTCCATCATCTCCTATGCACCCCCTGAGGGATATCATTGCTGCTCCCTTTTGTCACCTTCAGTGAACATTTGCTCTGAGGCCATTTGCTTTGTATTCACTGCGATAATAAAAACTCCCCTTAACAATAAGGGGAACATCCTCAAATGCAGCTGTGGCCAGCAAAGTGGTTGCTTTAACTCTGAAGCTACATTTTTTAGAGCAAACCAGAGCCATAGTCCACCTGGTCTCCAGGCACAGCATTGGCCAGCCTTTTTTAAATTTCAGAATTTTTCTTCCTTTTTTTATGGTAGGGATGGGGAGAGCTTGTGGGCCCTGATAGCCAGCTGCTGTTCTGTGCTCCCGACAGCATCCTGGGGCCAGCAGTCCAGCTTTGCCGTCGTTTGCTACCTACAGCTGGAAGCAAAGTTTGCCTGAAGATCCCCTTCAGCTCCTTACTTGGGAGCAATTATTTCAGGCTCTGCATACCCACTGCTGCATGCAGGGTTCTCAAAGACAAGGTTGCATCCACAATGGCAGGGAGTTTAAAGGAAAGCTGAGATTTTGGAGCACAATGTAGGCAGGAAATGAAACATGGATTTGAGGAGCCGCGGCACTCACCAGACCTCAGTTTTAGCCAAGAGTCCATGTAATTTGAGGAAGTGCTCATGGAAAGGATTTCCTGGCTGCAAAACAGATTTTGCCTCATTAATTGTGTTAAATAGGGCAAGGTTTTAAATCAAGGCAGAATTTATTCCCCAATTTTGGCAAGTCAAAAAGATTTGAGGACTGATAAAATAAGGAAATATAGGAAACAATATCCTGCAAAAAGCGTATGAAGGTCCAGGTGGCCAAGCCAAGGATGGCACAAACCAGAGCCATAGTCCACCTGGTCTCCAGGCACAGCATTGGCCAGCCTTTTTTAAATTTCAGAATTTTTCTTCCTCTTTTTATGGTAGGGATGGGGAGAGCTTGTGGGCCCTGATAGCCAGCTGCTGTTCTGTGCTCCCGACAGCATCCTGGGGCCAGCAGTCCAGCTTTGCCGTCGTTTGCTACCTACAGCTGGAAGCAAAGTTTGCCTGAAGATCCCCTTCAGCTCCTTACTTGGGAGCAATTATTTCAGGCTCTGCATACCCACTGCTGCATGCAGGGTTCTCAAAGACAAGGTTGCATCCACAATGGCAGGGAGTTTAAAGGAAAGCTGAGATTTTGGAGCACAATGTAGGCAGGAAATGAAACATGGATTTGAGGAGCCGTGGCACTCACCAGACCTCAGTTTTAGCCAAGAGTCCATGTAATTTGAGGAAGTGCTCATGGAAAGGATTTCCTGGCTGCAAAACAGATTTTGCCTCATTAATTGTGTTAAATAGGGCAAGGTTTTAAATCAAGGCAGAATTTATTCCCCAATTTTGGCAAGTCAAAAAGATTTGAGGACTGATAAAATAAGGAAATATAGGAAACAATATCCTGCAAAAAGCGTATGAAGGTCCAGGTGGCCAAGCCAAGGATGGCACAGACCTCACAGTAATGTATATGTTCATAAATCCAGCTGTGGCCCACTGCCTCTTATTTTGCAGCTCTTAATTCTCTCTCAGCTTGTATTGCACAAGGGCTGTAGCAAAGATCATTTCTCCTTTAGGCATCGCCAAGTTTTTCATTACTGTGGATATTATGTCCTTATTTTATACAGTGCAAATGTAATAGGGACAGGCTAGGGTGCAAATAACTTTGCATTATCTTATGCTAACACAAACTGATTGTAGTAGCAAAGAATTTATTTTCCTGTGGCTTTTTTTCACCCTTTGTACCATATCTGCCCATATGAGGGTCAACCGCTAGAAATGCGATGGCATCTCGAACCCGTTGTCCATGGCACTGGGGGCTTGCAGAGAAGGGGGCTGCGTGGCTCTGTGGTGGCCCCGTCAGCGGTCGCTGGTCCCAGACAGGCCACTGGCTGATACGGAAGCTGGGCTTGGACTTGCTGCTGTGCAAGAACGGTGAGAGTGATGGCTGGTGCAAAAGGGAACAGTCCCCTTTTTTAGGGCAGTGCCAATGTCCCCTCGCCTTGGAGGTGGCAGCTGGAGCAGCTTGGCTGTGTGTCTGGCTGTGCTGGAATAGGACAGACAGACTGTGCACCCCTCCAAGAGCTGGTCCCTCTCCCCTTCGGCAGCAGAGGCAGCGTTACTCCCCCACAGCCCTTCTGCAACTTCCGATGGTCTGTGCCGCACCAGCTGCTAATCCCACCGATGTCTAAACCAGCTTCTGAGTGTGCCCAACCCTCATCTTGCCTCAAAATAGAGCATGTACGTTTATGGCAGGAAAACATGTTGAGCTGCTGAGGGAAGCAGCTGAGCACCCAGGGCAGTGGGTGCCCCAGCCCTCCCTTGGCAGACGTCGCTCAGCCTCGTATCTCTGCTCACTTTGCCAAGCACAGCACAGCCAGGAATCGCTCACTAAAACCTGTCTCCGTGGCTTGTGGCTGTGAGCTGTATCTCCTCGGCTGTCCCAGGCTTTGGGCTGTCCGCAGCGGCTCTACTGACAGGTTCGTAGCACTATTTACAGTGGAGCCCATGCTCGTACTCTTGTGCTGGAAATTCCCAAACGCTTGCCCTACTTGTAAGTATGCCATTAGGAAAGCATCTTTCAAATGAGATGTCCAGCTTCTGCCTGGATCCTGAGCTTTAAATTGTGCTCTGCTGCCTTGTCATGGTTTAACTCCAGCTGGCAACTGAGCCCCATGGAGCTGCTCGCTCACTCCCCCCCAGTGGGATGGGAGGGAGAATCGAAGGGTAAAAGTGAGAAAACGTATGGGATGAGGTAAGAACAGTTTAATAATTGAAATAAAAGAAAGTAATAATAATATAACAACAACAACAATAATAATAAATAGTAATAACAAAATTTTAATGGAAAGGAAAACAATGAGAGAGAGAGGAAAAAAATAAACCAGGAAAAACAAGTGATGCAATCTCTCAGCACCCACTGACCGATGCCCATCCCACCCCTGAGCAGTCACCACTAACAAAGCAAGTGATGCACAATGCAATTCCTCACCACCTACTGACTGATGCCCAGCCCTCCCCAGGCAGCAATCACTGCTTCCCAGTCACCCCCCGCAGTTTCTCTACTGAGCATGACATCCTATGGTCTGGAATAGCGCTGGGGCCAGTTGGGCTCAGCTCTCCTGGCTGTGCCCCCTCCCAGCTTCTTGTGCCCCTGGCAGAGCAGGGGAAGCTGAAAAGTCCTTGCTGAGTGTAAGCCCTGCTCAGCACCAACTAAACCATCAGGGTAGTATCAACATTCTTCTCATCTTAAAATTAACTCCATCCCAGCCAAAACCAGGACATGCCTACACGGAGACCAGATGCTGCTTTTGGGGCTTGAACTGCCAAAGGGAATATTTACTGAGTCAGGTAGTGTTTTCTCCCACAAATAAATTCAAGCTTTTGATAGAATGAAGGAGAAATCCATTTCCCTAAACATTTGCCTCACTGAAAATCCAAGTTTTGTTTGCCAGAAACTACACAGAACTAGAGGATTTTGTTTTAGTGAAGAGAAAGCCATTTCTGTTGATTTTGCACTTGCAGGCGAGCGTGAGAAGGGGCTGCACGTGTCGGTGTGTGTGTTTGTGTCTGCATGTACACGCGCAGAGAGGGAAAGAAAAACATGGGTATGATTTTATCATCTCCTACGTTTATTTGTTAGTTCTGGGTATTTCCACCTGCTCTGCTATATTTGACCATTGTGGGAAATGCAGTGCTCGAAAGGTGCCCCGAGCAGAGCGCCCATGGTTTGCAGTGTGCCAGGATGGCCGGGCAGGCTCAGCCCGGCCCTGAGCGTCCCCCTCGGCTGCTGCCCCCCCCCAGCCTATTGCACCCCCTCTTCACCGAGCCCTGGGGCTGAGATGCTCGGGTTAACCTGGGCCAGCACACGGAGCCGGAGGGCCAGCTGCCTGCTGGAACAGTCTGTTCTCCCCAGTTTAGTCCTTCATCCCCAGTGCACAGCGTTAACTTCTGGCCATGCCTTTATCAAAGTAGGACAGGCATACATGTGCTCTTTCCTTTTTTGATACACTCTTGATGGCCCCACACCCAGAATTTAGGATCTGTATTAAACACTGGCAAGATGCAAATTTTCTTTTAATTAAATATGACCATTTGGGGGGTTGTCAGGCTGAAAAAGGAATTTATAATGGGTCATAATTCTTAGCTTATACTTTTGAAAATAATAAAAATATTTCAAATTCATAATTCAGTTTTAAATTGGCTTCAGACAGGGACCATAAATACCAAACTTCAGCCTGAAGCAGACCAGAGTTTTACAGCCAAGGAATAAACCATTGGAAATCAGAGCCAGTTTGGCGTTACCTCATCCTGTCTCCGCATTTATACAACAGGCTGGAAGGAGATGCTTTGGGTTATGATAACAGTCCTTGAAAATTTTCTTAATTCCTCATTATTTTTAATCCTACGTATCGAACACAGAGTACTGTACTCAACTCATTATTACTTGTGTTCAATTTTAACATATCCAAGTTATGGCAGAGCTTTGATTTTACTTTTTTTTTTTTTTAGTTTGCCAGTTTACAAGCCGGAATCTTCATTTTTTTTGAAGAGATGTTTCTCTGCTTATAAATACTGCCACTATTAGCATGTATAGAAGCATAAACACAAGCAGAACATTTGAAGCAGCTCAATTTTGAAAGAACAGATTTAGGGCTCGATCTAATGAATATGCTGGCATTTCATTTCATTTTGAAGTTATTTAACTCTGGTTTTTTGAACCCATTCTCCTCTCAAAAAGAGAAAAAAACCCCAAACGATGAGTCTTGAGTGGAAACATTTTGAGATGTTAATGAAGGTTTTTAACTTTTCTGAATTTCATCTTGCTCCTTCCTTTTGGTCAATAACATTTACTAAATTTGATCTGAACTTGCAAAAGAAAGAAAAAGTTTTGATGGTCTTGAAAAACTTTTTGTTTGTTTTTGGATATTTTTTTTTCTCCACTTATTGTCAGAAAAAAAAAAAAACAAACCCAAAACCAAATTAAATATGTTCAGCTCTATTCAGCAGACCCTGGATTCTGCTGACGAGGCAGGTAAGTCATTTTAGCTCTCAGTGCCTCCAATTCACTGTCTTCAGAATGGGGGGATGCGTGGATAGCCTCTGCAGCCAACGTATGAGCTATTGGTGGAAATTGCTATAGAAGCCCACGGTAGCAGCAGTATTGTAGCACCTGCAGCAGTTAATGTATGCATGAATAGGCATTTTTTTTTTATTTGGTTCTGGTAATTATGGCTTAATTCTCTATCTAAGCTGCATACTCTAAAGGATTAATTTCGCTCTCCATCTCCTTTCTCTTCTAGCTTTGTTTAACCTCATACCTGTGGGTTTACGAGTGGTGGCGATTCAGGGGGTTCAAACAAAATTGTATCTGGCAATGAACAGTGAAGGATACCTATATACATCAGTAAGTAAACATTTTTAATTTTGTTATCACTGAAATTGTGGTAAGAACTTGGTAAATGAATAATGCACTGTTCGAAGGAATCTGCTTATAACCTATAGAGATGGGATTTGCCCGCAAATTCAGTACAGTGGTGATATTCTGGGTTTAGTTTATTACTCTCATTCCAGTTTGGAGATACATGGATGTACAGAATCAAACTGCGGTGCCTTTGATGCAAACTTTGATCCCAAAGGATGAAATAACTGAAAAACCACAACCAAAGCCCCGGACAGAAAGGATGCTCTCTCTTGGTCGCTGTGGGCTGATTGTGCTGTTCGGCGTGGAGCACAGAGGGAAAGGGACAGCTCTGTGAATCACATGCATGCCTGAACACGTTTTGTATCTTCCCATATAATCTCTATTATTGTTATTAAAAGGGATTTGAGAGAGTAATTTTTTTTTTCTGTTTGGCCAGGATTTTCAGATCGAAATGGAATTAGGGGCTAAAATCTTACAGCTTTAAGTTGCTGAGTGAGAAAAGAAATGTTTCATTTAGCAGTTTTGATGAAGAACATCAGCTAATAATTATTAGTGGCATTTCTCAAGAGAGCAAAGCAATAAAAGTGTTTTTGTGAAAAAAAAAAAAGGACATTTTTAAAAATAGACAATTTTTCAATTAAAAACATTTAGTTGAACTATGTTCAGGAGTTTTAATTATAAAGTCTTAATAGATTTTTCCCAAGGAGGAAAATAGAGGAAAATGTAATTTATTATCTACTACAAATTATTCTCTTCTAAGAGTGATTCCCTTAAGGTGCCTTTAATACTGATAACAATTAAGTAAACTTATTCAAATCTCTCACTTGTTTGCAGTCCTGACAGCTGGGACAAGGGGCAGCTTTGCATATTTTTCCTCTTATATCTGCCAGAGCAAAAGCAAATTAGAACTGGCTGTGCTGTGGGACAAAGTAAAATTTCCATGAATGGCATCGAACTCCGTTTTTCTTTTTGCTCTGGCTATTTGCTTAGCGCGGTTAATCCACAGATCTGTTCGCAGGGCTGTAGCCACACAGCCCGGTCGTGCAGAGTCCCCTTAATCCCGTGGAGTCATGGTGCTGTGACTGCACAGCGTCATTTACATTTGCACTGCAAATGCACCTTTGACTGCACCGTGCGTTTTCATGTACGTTGGCATCCTCAGCTGGGCTGCTTTTTGGGTGCCCACTCGCCCAGGGAGCGATTAATGTATGCATTAATCTGCTGCACTGTGCCGGCTTCTACAGGCTCCGTTCTGCTGCGGGGAGTGTTACCTCCAGCCACAGCTCGGGGTGGGATGGAGCGGTTTGTATGTAAAGCCAAATTCCATCACCGCGCACAGCGAACATACTCGGTTTGAGTAGGTCGGCTCTTTCATTGCATACAGTCTGGAAGACTCAGATAGATTTTTGCAAAGAGGCGGAAAATGGGATGGGGACAGATTGCCCCACTGCTAACTGGGAGCAGTAACCTCTCGCTGTGAGACGTATCACTGAAGTCAAAGGGACTACTGAGAGAATGAAGTATTCGAGGATCTCTCTATGTGAGGAGGAGTGGCAGAATGCAACCCTTATTTTGATTAGGTCCAGCTTTTAGTTTGATAGGTATCCAGGCACCTTAGGCAGAGCTCAGAGATCCACTTTGGTTGTAATTTTTGGTATTTGCATTCATTAGGGGTAGTTCTTCATGCGGTCTCATATGTTGCCATTAATAGTGTCTTCCTTGAACCCGTTACTATCTGTGAATTTAATAGTTTGTGCCATTGCAAAATTAACTGGTGACATCCTTCTATTTTCCCCTTCGTAACAATGGTCATTTTTGTTTCTTTATTAGGCAGCTGTATTTTCTTACATTTATTCTTTTTTTCTTCTTGAACCTGATGGGCTTGGCAAGGCCTTAAACAGACTTTTGTCATGTTGTCCTTCCCCCAATTAATATTTTTAAATATTCCTCACAAAGATGGGTGTCTATTTAACGTTGATCTACTTTTCCAAGGAAACTTGCCACCCAGGTTCTCGATACGGGTTTGTCACCTGGTGCCTTCTGGTTTGGTTGCTTTGTCCTTTACAATAATTGCAAGAAAACCTCTTGGTGGGCAAACCCCAGGTCATGGCTCTGCCAATGTGCCCAGGGAATGGACAAGGGCCAGTGAGGAGCATCTGCCCCTCCTTCGCTTGCTATGCCAAAAGGTTGCCAGAATTGCAGTTCCAGCACCATTTTTAAGTGTTTCTAGCACTTCTTTTGCTGATAATGGTCCTTTCAGCAAGGGATGGAGTCTGACAGTCTGAAACATGGGGAATTAGTTCTATATTTTGGGCTGGATTCCTGGCTGATATAAATGAGTCCCAAGAGAGCTCAGCTGATTTATACCAGATGAACACTCACCTGTTCAAGGGATGCCAACAGGGAGTCCGGGGAACAGATCAGCTCAAGGAAATGACATCCATCTACACATCCTGAGGGTTTCCAAGTCCTTACAGGGATGTGTTCACTGTCAAATTCTTGAAGCAAGAATACAGGGAGAAATAGAAATGTACTTAAATTGTAGATAACTATAATAGTTACACCATTTCCAGAGTGAAATGAACTTAGCATTGGTGAAGCAATGTAATAGGGAGAAAAAATATTGTGGCCCTTGTCATGATCACTCGGTTTCAGTTTTATTGTGACTCTAGCGCTTTGGTCATGCTTGTGTCTGTGCAGAACCTTTCCTTCAGATTGCATTGCTGAAGGTTATAGATTCATCTGGAAAAGGTTTGGAAAAAACCTTAGTAACGTGCCATCCCTGTTCCTCAGCCCGTGCCTTGCACCTGATAGCGCCTTGTAGCCTGAAACACTTCTGAAACACCGCGCCTGATAAAGAGGCCATTAAGTCCACGGCAATTACCCCACTGGTAAATAGGTAGATAAGACATCTGGCTTACAGGAGGATAAATGGAGGCTCGGCTAAGTGCTTGCCCACACTCACCCGGGAAAGCACAGACAGGAGGGCTAACACACCAGGTGTCCCATTTCCATGTATCTTGGCCTAAATTTCAATATTAAATCACAGTTTGTTTTCCTTTTAGTGACTGAGGTGAATTCTTGTGTTTTGTTCCGTGTGGTATATTTTTTAAGTTTGGGCAGTGCAGCAACATAATTGACTTAGTTGATTCTGAGTATCATTCTGCATGCATCATCTGAGTATACATTCTGCATATGTAGAAATTATGTCCTAGCCACAATCCGCCTCAGTTGTTGGCAGATGGAGAATATCTGTGGATCCAGTTTGCTAATTTGTTGAGCTCTGGCCTTGGCCTTGCCTCTTCCTCCCTAGCAGTCTGCCAGGGTGGAGATTCAGGTATCTGACCTCAAAGGTAGTCTGAAGTGTGGTTGGTTTCTGGTCCAGTGACTGTACTCAAGAATGAGGTGAATTTGCTCCATCAGGCGATCAGTGATGTATAATAAATCTGCAGAGAACAGATATCTGTAGCTGGCTGCCACAGTTTATAGATAGTTTGCGGCGTCTGTCAGTTAGAGCAAAAATAAGATCTTTAATGTAATGATAAAAGCTCCTCGGGGACAAGGCAGCAACACAGCTAAGCAAAAAAAGAAAAAAAGATACTATGTTAAAATAAATAATTATCTACATTTGTTGTAGAAGTGCGTTAAAGGTCCTGGACGGCAGGGAAGGGAAGCGACCTCAGTCCTCCCACTGTCTGCCGAGCTGCCCTTGCTCGCCCCGACGTGCACTTGGAGCAGTGTGTGCCTCCTCTCCACACCGGCTGGAAAATGCATCTTCGTAACACAGAACACCACATATGAAATGGGGTTTTTTTTGTGTGTAGCCAGTTTCGTACCAAAGTCGGTGGGAGTTGTGTGCCTGCATCTCCCAAGCTGAACCCACCCTTACAGTTTTGTTTGGAGGGACCTTGTCAGGAGCTATTTGAAGCCATAGCTCTTCCTGCTGTATGCTGCTGGAGCATCCTTTAAAAATGAAAACACGGGGTTTGATTCATCCCTTCTTGCCCCAGTGTCATGCTGCTGTCGATGACTTAAACGCTGTTGAAGCACTGCTGTCTTACGTAACCACATAATGAATCATGCCCTTTTGTATTTCAGGATGGCTTTTATTTCGTCTTATTTTTCTTTCTATGAACGACCGCATCTTTCAGATGACAACCATATATGCTATGCTTGAGTTTTTCAGGCTTCATACCCTATGAATTCCTTGTGTTCTTCCGTTGTCTTGAACAACAGAGTGAAAAATGTTTTAAGGATCTGTTTGTCAGACAGGTAGTCCTAGAGCTATTGCTTTCTCATTAAAGTGATTGCGATTTGACGGAGGAGGCTCACGGTGATAGAGAGCAGCAGTTGAGTGAAGTTCATTAAAGGGAAGGCATGTATGTAGGTGAAGACAACTGGGTGTACTGCTTGAATTCTGCATAGGCTGAAGCATAACCCAACATACAGCAGATTTTAAAAAACAGCCTAAGGATATCTAGCCATGTATTTTCCATGAACCATCATGTCAAGATTTTAAAAACGATTTAATGATTATGAGTGAAATGCATATTTGTCCTGTAGAACATTTCAGCCCCTGTAATTGTGTGCTTGTTTAGCCTGGATACATTGTCAGAAACAGTAAAATTAAATACGTGCTGCTCATTGCATCCTTCTGGACGGCCTCAGGACCTACGCCACTCGGCTTGTGATGAGCGCTTGTTTTCCATCTTGTCTTGTTCTGGGCTCCTGTGATTTGCCAAAGTGTTTGATTTATATCTGGTCATGTGCAAGTAAGCTTACAGCTTCTCCCACCTGGGACAAGCAGGCTGACCACTGTGCAGGTGTAGAGGAGAGCACGGGCTCGAGGGGGTCCCCAGTTCGGCTTTCCCTTTGCCATCCCCACGCAAGGGCTGCCAGAAATGCCTGGCTTCCCAGCAGCACTTTGTGGAGAGGAGCAGCGGCACCAAGCCTTTCCCCAGCTTGTCCCTGGGCTGAGTGAT